TGCTGATTTTCTGGGGGCAAACCATCCTGTTGTCAGCAAATAAGGATTGTTTTTGTCCTCTTTGCCCGTGCTTACATCTTTAATTTCTTTCTCCTGATTTACGGCCAGCATGAACACTTGCAGAACTATGTCAGTTAGCAGTGAGGAAAGTGGGCATCCTTACTTTACTCCTTTATTTGTTGAGCATTAGAGCCATTGTTTTCACAAGAATAAGCCAAACCCACCAATTTCCCCCCATCAGAGACTGCATAATGCTCTTGTTTACAAACTAGCTGTGAAGTCCCTCTCCCTTGCTCAGCTTTGGTGCCTCCAACAGTGCGTCCCATGCCGGGGTCTACAGGAAGTGCATGCTTCTCTCTGGACAGCATATTTCTTTTACCACAGGGCCAGAGCTTTAGGACTGCAGAAGCCCCTACGGATCATCTGTTCCAACATGATCAATTTATAGAGGAGAAATCTGAAGTCCAGAATAAATGACTTGCCCAAGGTCACATAACAAGTCAGTGGCAAAGACAGGATTCAAAATCACTGCACCACAACTCTGTGTGTGTGTGTGTGTGTGTGTGTGTGTGTGTGTGTGTGTGTGTGTGAAAGAGAGAAGGGAGAGGGAAGGAGGGAAAGGGAAGGAGAGAGGGAGAGGGGGAGAAAAAGAGGGAGGAGAGAGAAAAAGAAAGGAGAAAGAGAGACAGAGAAGGAGGGAGAGGGAAGGAGGGAGGGAAAGGAGGAGAGAGAGAGAAAGGGGAGAGAGGGGGAGAGAAAGGAGGGAGAGAGAGAGATGTGAAATGAAGTGGTTTGACCTTAAAAGGGAGTTCCTAGTCTTGAAAAGTCTGTGAAGCATTGATCTATGATTTATATACTTGGTTGAAGCCTGATTATTTTTCTCCCTGAAGCTATTGCACATTCAACTGTGCTTGGAAGGAGGGAGGCTGGATTAATACACCCATTCTCCACTGTCCCCCCTCCCCCCTCCCCATTATTTAAAATCTCTGGAGGCTTTCTTTGTCCCCAGGAATTAGAGGATTGTAAATGCCTCCTGAGTTTCTTTGGTAGCTTAGAAAGGGAGAAGGGTACTTGTCTCTTTTGCCTTCTCCTACTTTGTGACCCACTGAAGTCAGCTCTGTTTGTGGCTTTCTGGATTCACAGCCAAGAAGATGACTTTTAGTCTGAGGAAGACTAGAAATTTGGACAAAGTTAGGGACTAAGCAATTAGAAAAATTACCTGAATTTGAACTTGAAAAGGCTCCGAGTTTTCCTGGGCTCAGGTGTCCTCCATGTTTGAGCTCAGAAAATGAAGGTTTGTTTTCACTCGCCTTTTGGTGAAAGTAGAAGGGGCTTGTGAAAACCACAGCTAACCCTCTCCACTCATGACCTTTGTTCCAGCTTACTGATCTCCCTCTCCTCAAGAAAACGAGGACTTACTGGAATTTGACTTCAGACTCTCAAAAATCTTCCCCAACTAAAGTAATAACAATCCTTTTTTCTCCAGATTTTGGTGTGAGGTACAGGTAGTGTAAGTAACAGTGCTCCCATTTTACAGGTAATAACATCTTTTCCCCTTTTCCCTTTCTCCTTTTAAGTCTCTTAGTAGGGGACACAGGCTGGGACTCCCCTATCCTTCCTTTTTGACACCTTCTCACTTGATAGATTATAATATAAACCCTTTATTTAATTTGTATTTGGTTTCAGTATAGACACATCTGATTCTGCACCTGTAGTCATGTGTGAATTGGGTGGAACAAAAATATTATGCCGTCCCATTGGCATTTTTTATAGCACCTAATATACTTCCGTGTATAACAATACCTGTTATCTCTCAGAACCATAGAAAGTCTAAGCCAGAAGGGACCTGGGAGATCATATAGTCCAGAAGGAGGTACATTACTTAGTCACCCAGGGGGTGAGCAACAGAATCAGCACTTGAACTCGGGTCTTTTGACATCAAATTCTATAATCTTTGCACTATATTTACTGCTGCCTTTCCAAAAGTCTGCTGATGTTATCAGTGTTGATGCCACTGCCATGATTGTGTATAGTCACCCACCCATGCCTTCTCATTTTTTACTTTACCATGTTTTCCCATCAGTCCTCCATGGAGTAGCTACCCAACATGGCTTTCAGGCCTTTCTCTCCTTTAGCATTCTGTGGGCATCAAGGTGGCTCATAGGCTGCCTCTCCCTGCATGATTGGCTCACCTCCTTTTCTGATGATACATTTCTGGGCTTGTATCTTATCTACTATTTTTGTACACAAAGTACAGAAGGTAGTACACCACAGCCTTTTTTATGCCCATCAAGCATTTCTCCATTGCCTTTTGGGTCACCTGCAATATTGATGGGGGGAGGGCAGAAAATTGTAAAAGTCCCTGCTGCTGTCATGGAGCTTACATTCTACTTGGTGAACACAAATACACACACAGATACATAAATACAAAGTAATTTCAAGAGAGAGAGGATGAACACCCAGGCTGGGGCAACAACAAAGTCCTGATATAGGAAGATAG